GTATCCTCCTATCACCCATTCATTATCACAATTTGTTACTTCTTTATATAGACCTATTTGAAGTCTGTTAGCTTCCCGCTGGTTTTCTCATTACTCCAACTGTGCCGGGAGTATTAATCCATGGCTGCGATTTAATCGGCAGTCCTCTCTCTTCAGGTCTTATCAGTCCCCTCTCGATCTTTAGGATCCTGTCATCGTATCCATGCTACTTAAGGCGTTGTTCTAGACTCTGAAGTCTGATTTCTCATTTAGCACGACGCTGCTGATTCCCTTATCGCTGTGCAGCATGTGCATCGAGTAAATCTCGTGGGCAAACCTTTACTTCATGGAGTACGTCTATAAGCAACTAATCTATTAATAGGCAACTAGAAATGGCCACTACAGTTTTCGCTAATAGTGACTTCATCAAACCTCCTGTTAATTGGGCTTCTTTCAGTCAGGATATCAATTATTTCTCGTATCTTTTTTGTATTTCCACCATATGCAGACATCGTTTCTGTAGATTTCCACTCGATTTCGTGTTCCGTTCATGCGATGTGTTCCACTATTTTAGATCTTTCAGTGTCCATGTTTCTCCAGAGAATTTGGTGTTCCTTGGTCCGTAGGCTAATTTTACATCGTTTCACCAATATACTTCTTTTCACAATTTCCGCATTTGAGCAATCCAGTTTGTCAACCTTCTCGTATTGCATCAGCAGGCTTGTAAAGTGTTGTCTTTTCTTTTGTTATCATTTGATATTCCATTTTCTTAGCAACAGTTGCAACTTCTATATCACTCGAAGGCCGTACAAGATGTGTTCCTCTAAGTCTTCCTGACCACGTTGCGAAAGCAAGGTCAAATAGCCTACATACAAGAAAGGAGACCGCGATATTTTTGATACACGCTCAGGATAGGTGCCATGATAAAAATCACTCCTGTATTAACGCGAAATAACATCATGTCGCTTTTAGATAGATATTAATATAGGAGAGTCGTTTACAACCATTATATCACGGCCTTGTCGCAGTTGTAGTCTCTGATTTGACTAGATCTCATAAACCAGTACTGACCTTCGGACTGCCATTTAAGGCATCGCAAAAGCTTGAAAACACTATTTAACAAAATTAGAGTTTAGATTGAGTATATACGTTATACATGAAATGAAAGGTCCACAAGTATTTTTTTGCTTACGATGGGGCGTATTGCATTTATAAGGCAGTGTTGAATAATGTTTTGGCTTCAAACTTACCAAAGGAAATAAAAACAGATTAGACATGCGTGGCGCCAGGTCCAAAGTTTTGTAGTTATATCCGCACTTTAAGGTTTCAAACTAAAATTTGGTTGTTAACTACGTAATTCCAAACTATTTTTTCTGCATAAGTAATCAATACCGTATCCCGTTACTAATTTTAACAGGCACTATCTATTGACGGCATACAGGAAATACTGAACCCCTTTATTTGGCTCCATACGGCGGACTCTGTGTGCGTTTCAATGAGAGTCTTGATTAATGACGGAGGCAGTGAGCAACTAATACTTGCCCAGGTATAATTTCACTTTTCTTAACTCGTTATGGACTAAATGCATGTGCAGCCAAAGAGCCAATTGATTATTTATAACTTTAACCGTTGCTATAAAACTTCAACCCGCAGAATAGTATTCTTCGATCATTTGTAGTGTTCAATAGATTGTCCAGAAGCAATGCTTATATATATGCAGAATCAAAAAGTTGATAATATAACCCAGTTGCAGAGAAGCCGTTGCTAACATTTAGGTATATAAATACTAGGGATCGGAATACAATGGATACGACTTGATATGGCTTGCCGGATGTGGAAATAGCGGCAAGTTTGTACATAAAACCAAGACCCGTTTCCAACTAACAAATTAGTAAATCCAAACGTTTCCTAATTGCATTTATCTAATAGTCCCGGCAACTACATATACAGAAAATACTTTATGGAATAGACTGAAAAGGCAACACGTTGAAGGATGTGTGCTGGAATGTTTGGTGACGACAGTTGGTAGGCACCGATTGTTGTCACCTAAATTATGCGTTTATCGTACAAAATCCGACCTGTGAAGAGATTCGCATATCATTGGAACCAAAAATGTCACTTGATATAAGCATTATCAATGCCCTTTCGTTTGCATATTTGCTTACTGGATTCCTTAGATAATCAGATTTTTATCTTATCTCCATGCATACTAAAACATTCTGCATTCAGCTTAAGGAGAAATTCACCCTTCCTGGAGTAGAGCATCTGACAATTCAAGTGGAGAAAGAATGCTTCCGTAATCACCTCCAAGGTTTGGGTCTGAACGTGGATACTTTGCTGCGCTACCAGAAGCGAGCCCCTGCGCTGTATTGCACACTAGGAGAGGTCAAACCCGAGAAAAACATTCACAATTCAGGTGACAACTATAACATACAGGAACCGGCCCATGGTCACCACCACTCTCAAGAGCAGGAGCACTGACAATTCATTGAAAGTCCAAGATTTGACAATTAAATCTGGGTGACATCTTGCTTCATTTCCAAAAACAAAAATCACAATTCGAGATGTTTTATTCAAATATTAATTATGCCAATTATGTACTGAAATTTTATCTTATATCCCACTACAGATGCTTTCTTAGTTCTTAGCTCGTAATTAAGGTCCACAAAATACACATTTGTAGTCAGTGTATTTTTCTATATGAGCCCCGCTTCATCACGAATACTATTCAATATTCGCCAAAAGATGGGACCCGGAAATAGTAAAATAGATTAGATTTACATTCTAATATATTAAATCAAATCATACTGTTGCAATAAGCGTTACGCTAGGCTAAATGAGGGAGCTTTAGGCTAAAGATGACGACCGAACATTGAGTAAATCTCTAGTCAGCTGAGTTTGAGCCCAGATGTTCAACACTAGTTTCAAAATGAACTCGAGATGGATCAAATATTCCCGACGGAGACTTTAATGGCATGAGTATACATTTGAACACATCGTTCGAACAAAATGAGGTCATCTGTATCGCCCTGAGAAACGACCATACTACGAAAACCACACCGAAATATCTAGCATTGGTAAATCTTAGAAAGCAATCTGGTCTCAGAGCTAAGAGTATCAAGATAAAAAGAGCGGAGGATATAATCATATGGGCCAGTAGGGACGCTACGTCTACAAGGTTCCAAGTCAATTACGATTGTCTAACTTCGAATTTACTCACCAAGATAAATAGCCACTTTGTCAGAGTTAAAACGAATGACTGGTAAATAAAAAAACGTTGTATACAAACCAAGATAAAAAAAAGAGGAAACGCAAATAACGTATCCTACGATAGGTCGCATTTCGTAACATTTCAGTAGCGCGAATATCGACGCCCGGCGGAGCGAGAGAGTGAGCGGCGTTCTCGGGATCTGGAGCGCCTGGATCGACGATCTCGTGAGCGCGAACGATGACGACGGCCATATCGTTTTTTACTTCTGTTGTAAAGTTTCCGGCACAGCTCTCGCGAGATGGGTTTCAGGTGCATAAAGTTGCAGAAGCCGCCGCGGGTACATTCTCTATAATAAATAACCGTAAACTCCTTGAGAATAGTAAACGAAAACAGGAAACTCAGGTTGAACCATGGGGCTAAGTGACCTAGACCTTTTTCCTGGTTGATCCCATTGTGGTCAGTAGCTGCGGAAGACCGATCACCCTTGACAAATATAAAATTGGGACCTTTGTATGGAATAGCGGAGGTTAATTTCTGCAAAAATGAAACAATCATTAAATGCACCTTATATTATTGCCGATTTTGTTCTGACGGATTAAGCGTCACTGATCTGCCGGCAAGTTTAATGATTGCCCAACTAGGCTAAACGAAATAAGGTACGGAAAGGGAAATAAAAAGTATAATAGCGATTTAGGGATAATGAAGCAAAGAAAAATAAGGAATGATGTGAATATACTTATCCATTTAGAGAATGACCCAACCGAAACTGAAAGCCGAGGTCCGAGTTTATTTAGGCAATATCTACTCTAGCATGCTGCAAGGTATTTGATTTGCCATATCTGAATTAATATTAATAACATTTCATTTGCCAGTTAGCCTAAGAATCTGGAGCTATAACATAAGATCTATCTTTCTATAAGGTTACCCGAGTTCATATTGTCGACAGCAGGCTTCTCGAAAATCAGTTACGGGAGATAATTCTGCATGAACTGGCCGCCCTCCGAACCACCTCTGATTGAGGTCTAAAACAGCTTTCTCAGCATCCTCTTCGTACCGAAACTATGTAGATTTAGAATAATGTTAATTCGTACCTTGATGTAAACATTTCCAACCAGGTGATCTCCCAGATTGTCACAAACATTCATTTCTTCAATTTCACCATACTAAAAGCATAATCAAAACTGTTTACTACTTTTTCTTCACATTCGACAAAGACTTCTTCAAAAAATTCGTCAAAAATTTGCTGGGCCTGTGTTTCAGTCATATTAACTACTAATGGTTAGTACAATGTAGCATACTATGAGACCCATCAGCCGTCTGAGCAGTATTGTGGGGGGCGATATAAAGATTTTGAAGTAGTATCGTCTGACTGAAAGTAGGCTTGTTGTGAAGCCTGGAACACTGCTCACCGTGACGACAAGCCCCTATCTTGAAATAGAACGAACAATTGACTCTAAAAAAATAAACAACGAAATTATTACTTGTCCTTCTCTGTTCCAAATATTGCAGCCAAATACTCTGCCATATTACCAATCACCAAACAAATGGGCCGGGAGATAAGGCAGTCAAAATGACATTAACAAGTAAAATCTGTTTAAACATAGTCAAGATTTTTTTAGGTCAACAAATTTTATTTACTGTATATATTCTGTTAAATTACGAGGAAATATATTTTCTTTTAATTCAATATAATAGAACAGCATACGAATCGATCAATAATTTATTTATTCTATCATATTTAATAGTTTATTTTACATTTGTATGGATAGTGAAATGACTTTATTTTTTATGCGTTAATGTTTGTCTCTATTTTAGAGTTAAAGCCTATTATAGAAGCAGCCACGTCCATACATAATACCCCTATCAATCAAAATTCACTGTCTGGCGATGATTCTTTAGATTTCTCAAATGCCAAATTCTCAATTGATATTTTTATTATAAAAACAGTTTATCTGTTTACTTGACCAATAATCAAATCCGTGAGTTCCTCATCCCTCATTCAAATATTAGTTATTTTTGTTTCTCTGAACAAGGAGGTCAACAACGACCAAATTCCTGAATTTTGCTATTTACTTAAGATAGGTATAATTTAATTCATATTTCTATAGCTATTTTAGCCGGTGAGTGCAATATGCTATACAATTTCAGTCTTTTCCTAATAAGGATAGTATGTATCTTAGTATAATCTCGCCTTGTTTTCCGTATCGAGTCAGTTTGCACATATCAGCTTCCGAGAAATCAATATCCACTTTCTTAGACCATTTGTGCCTATATCTAAAAATGTTTTAACCATTATTTAAAAGCTACAAAGAAACATAAAATTAAGGAATTTTTCTGAATTCGACACCCTGTAATAACGATATTGTAAACATCGTTTTTTTGAAAATATTTTTAAGGCAAATGAACGATCTAATAAAGAATTTTAATATCACCAACAGTTAAATATAAATTTGATTTTTAGAACCAAGCATCATTTAAGAAGGATAAGAGTTTGCCCTGTTTTCTTATGTGAACTTAATGAGAAGCTGGCATCAAAGTAT